GGCTGCCGCTGCAGGGCAACGTGTTCGCGGTGACCGGGGGAAGCAGTGGCAAGGCGGTAAATGGATTATGGCGACATGGTCAGGCACTGGCACAGGGCTGCCGCTGCAGGGCAACGTGTGTGCGGTGACCTGGGAAGGCAGTGGCAAAGCGGTAAAGGCCCACAGACGGGTTTTGTGTCGTGATGGGCCGTGCTTCGCGCACGTTTTGAAACCCTCTAAATGGAGTATGGCGACATGGCCAGGCGCTGGCAAAGGGCTGCCGCTGCAGGGCAACGTGTTCGCGGTGACTTGGGAAAGCAGTGGCAAAGCGGTAAAGGCCCACAGACGGGTTTTGTGTCGTGATGGGCCGTGCTTCGCGCACGTTTTGAAACCCTCTAAATGGAGTATGGCGACATGGCCAGGCGCTGGCAAGGGCTGCCGCTGCAGGGCAACGTGTGTGCGGTGACCTGGGAAGGCAGTGGCAAAGCGGTAAAGGCCCACAGACGGGTTTTGTGTCGTGATGGGCCGTGCTTCGCGCACGTTTTGAAACCCTCTAAATGGAGTATGGCGACATGGCCAGGCGCTGGCAAAGGGCTGCCGCTGCAGGGCAACGTGTGTGCGGTGACCTGGGAAGGCAGTGGCAAAGCGGTAAAGGCCCACACGGGGGTTTTGTGTCCTGATGGCCCGTGCTTCGCGCAGGTTGTGAAACCCTCTAAATGGATGGAGTGGAGTATGGCGATATGGCAACGTGGACAAGCGCTGGCAAAGGGCTGCCGCTGCAGGGCAACGTGTTCGCGGTGACCGGGGGAAGCAGTGGCAAGGCGGTACATGGATTATGGCGACATGGCCAGGCACTGGCACAGGGCTGCCGCTGCAGGGCAACGTGTGTGCGGTGACCTGGGAAGGCAGCGGCAAAGCAGGCCCACAGACGGGTTTTGTGTCGTGATGGGCGGTGCTTCGCGCACGTTTTGAAACCCTCTACATGGAGTATGGCGACATGGCCAGGCGCTGGCAAAGGGTTGCCGCTGCAGGGCAACGTGTTCGCGGTGACCTGGGAAGGCAGTGGCAGAGCGGTAAAGGCCCACAGACGGATTTTGTGTCGTGATGGGCCGTGCTTCGCGCACGTTTTGAAACCCTCTAAATGGAGTATGGCGACATGGCCAGGCGCTGGCAAAGGGTTGCCGCTGCAGGGCAACGTGTTCGCGGTGACCTGGGAAGGCAGTGGCAAAGCGGTAAAGGCCCACACGGGGGTTTTGTGTCCTGATGGCCCGTGCTTGGCGCAGGTTGTGAAACCCTCTAAATGGATGGAGTGGAGTATGGCGATATGGCAACGTGGCCAAGCGCTGGCAAAGGGCTGCCGCTGCAGGGCAACGTGTTCGCGGTGGCCGGGGGAAGCAGTGGCAAGGCTGTACATGGATTATGGCGACATGGCCAGGCACTGGCACAGGGCTGCCGCTGCAGGTCAACGTGTGTGCGGTGACCTGGGAAGGCAGCGGCAAATGTAAAGGCCGACAGACGGGTTTTGTGTCCTGATGGCCCGTGCTTCGCGCATGTTTTGAATCCCTCTACATGGAGTATGGCGACTAGCCAGGCGCTGGCAAAGGGCTGCCGCTGCAGGGCAATGTGTTCGCGGTGACTTGGGAAGGCAGCGGCAAAGTGGTAATGGCCCACAGACGGGTTTTGTGTCGTGATGGGCTGTGCTTCGTGCACGTTTTGAAACCGTTGAAACCCTCTGAATTGAGTATGGCGACTGGCCAGGCGCTGGCAAAGGCAGGGCAACGTGTTCGCGGTGACTTGGGAAAGCAGTGGCAAAGCGGTAAAGGCCCACAGACGGGTTTTGTGTCGTGATGGGCCGTGCTTCGCGCACGTTTTGAAACCCTCTAAATGGAGTATGGCGACATGGCCAGGCAGTGGCACAGGGCTGCCGCTGCAGGGCAACGTGTGTGCGGTGACCTGGGAAGGCAGTGGCAAAGCGGTAAAGGCCCACAGACGGGTTTTGTGTCGTGATGGGCCGTGCTTCGCGCACGTTTTGAAACCCTCTAAATGGAGTATGGCGACATGGCCAGGCGCTGGCAAAGGGCTGCCGCTGCAGGGCAACGTGTTCGCGGTGACTTGGGAAAGCAGTGGCAAAGCGGTAAAGGCCCACAGACGGGTTTTGTGTCGTGATGGGCCGTGCTTCGTGCACGTTTTGAAACCCTCTAAATGGAGTATGGCGACATGGCCAGGCGCTGGCACAGGGCTGGCGCTGCAGGGCAACGTGTTCGCGGTGACCTGGGAAAGCAGTGGCAAAGCGGTAAAGGCTCACAGCGGGGTTTTGTGTCCTGATGGACCGTGCTTCACACAGGTTTTGACACCCTCTAAAATGGAGTATGGCGACATGGCCAGGCGCTGGCAAAGGGCTGCCGCTGCAGGGCAACGTGTTCGCGGTGACCGGGGGAAGCAGTGGCAAGGCGGTAAATGGATTATACATGGTCAGGCACTGGCACAGGGCTGCCGCTGCAGGGCAACGTGTGTGCGGTGACCTGGGAAGGCAGTGGCAAAGCGGTAAAGGCCCACAGACGGGTTTTGTGTCGTGATGGGCCGTGCTTCGCGCACGTTTTGAAACCCTCTAAATGGAGTATGGCGACATGGCCAGGCGCTGGCAAAGGGCTGCCGCTGCAGGGCAACGTGTTCGTGGTGACTTGGGAAAGCAGTGGCAAAGCGGTAAAGGCCCACAGACGGGTTTTTTGTCGTGATGGGCCGTGCTTCGCGCACGTTTTGAAACCCTCTAAATGGAGTATGGCGACATGGCCAGGCGCTGGCAAAGGGTTGCCGCTGCAGGGCAACGTGTTCGCGGTGACCTGGGAAGGCAGTGGCAGAGCGGTAAAGGCCCACAGACGGGTTTTGTGTCCTGATGGCCCGTGCTTCGCGCACGTTTTGAAACCCTCTAAATGGAGTATGGCGACATGGCCAGGGGCTGGCAAAGGGCTGCCGCTGCAGGGCAACGTGTGTGCGGTGACCTGGGAAGGCAGTGGCAAAGCGGTAAAGGCCCACAGACGGGTTTTGTGTCGTGATGGGCCGTGCTTCGCGCACGTTTTGAAACCCTCTAAATGGAGTATGGCGACTGGCCAGGCGCTGGCAAAGGACTGCTGCTGCAGGGCAACGTGTTCGCGGTGACCTGGGAAAGCAGTGGCAAAGCGGTAAAGGCCCACACGGGGGTTTTGTGTCCTGATGGCCCGTGCTTCGCGCAGGTTGCGAAACCCTCTAAGTGCCTCTAAATGGATGGAGTGGAGTATGCCGATATGGCGACATGGCCAAGCGCTGGCAAAGGGCTGCCGCTGCAGGGCAATGTGTTCGCGGTGACAGGGGGAAGCAGTGGCAAGGCGGTACATGGATTATGGCGACATGGCCAGGCACTGGCACAGGGCTGCCGCTGCAGGGCAACGTGTGTGCGGTGACCTGGGAAGGCAGCGGCAAAGCGGTAAAGGCCGACAGACGGGTTTTGTGTCGTGATGGGCGGTGCTTCGCGCACGTTTTGAAACCCTCTAAATGGAGTATGGCGACATGGCCAGGCGCTGGCAAAGGGCTGCCGCTGCAGGGCAACGTGTTCGCGGTGACCTGGGAAGGCAGCAGCAAAGCGGTAAAGGCCCACAGAGGGCTCTTGTGTCCTGATGGACCGTGCTTCGCGCAGGTTTTGTCACCCTCTAACTCTCTGAACGGAGTATTGCGACTAGCCAGGCGCTAGCAAAGGACTGCTGCTGCAGGGCAACGTGTTCGCGGTGACCTGGGAAGGCAGTGGCAAAGCGGTAAAGGCCCACACGGGGGTTTTGTGTCCTGATGGCCCGTGCTTCGCGCACGTTTTGAAACCCTCTAAATGGAGTATTGCGACTAGCCAGGCGCTGGCAAAGGGCTGCCGCTGCAGGGCAACGTGTTTGCGGTGACTTGGGAAGGCAGCGGCAAAGCGGCAAAGGCCCACAGACGGGTTTTCTGTCGTGATGGGCTGTGCTTCGCGCACGTTGAAACCGTTGAAACCCTCTGAATTGAGTATGGCGACTGGCCAGGCGCTGGCAAAGGCAGGGCAACGTGTTCGCGGTGACCTGGGAAGGCAGTGGCAAAGCGGTAAAGGCCCACAGAGGGGTTTTGTGTCCTGATGGACCGTGCTTCGCGCACGTTTTGAAACCCTCTAAATGGATTATGGCGACATGGCCAGGCGCTGGCAAAGGGCTGCTGCTGCAGGGCAACGTGTTTGCGGTGACTTGGGAAAGCAGTGGCAAAGCGGTAAAGGCCCACAGACGGGTTTTGTGTCGTGATGGGCCGTGCTTCGCGCACGTTTTGAAACCCTCTAAATGGAGTATGGCGACTGGCCAGGCGCTGGCAAAGGACTGCTCCTGCAGGGCAACGTATTCGCGGTGACCTGGGAAGGCAGTGGCAAAGTGGTAAAGGCCCACACGGGGGTTTTTGTGTCCTGATGGCCCGTGCTTCGCGCAGGTTGTGAAACCCTCTACATGGATGGAGTGGAGTATGGCGATATGGCGACATGGCCAAGCGCTGGCAAAGGGCTGCCGCTGCAGGGCAACGTGTTCGCGGTGACTTGGGAAGGCAGTGGCAAAGGGTTTGGTGTCTGGTGGACCGTGCAGGCCGAGGTCCTAGCAGGCCAAAGCCGCACACCTGCGGTGATCCCGGGCGCCGCCCCGCCTGGGCCAAGGCTAGGCAGGGGTCGGCGGATAACTAGTTCATTTGAAGTTTTTGCTGGAAGATCAAATTTAACTATAAAATTATGAAATTTTGTTATACGGGCGTGGATCAAGACCTAGTATATCAGTATATCCTATTATACCGTACGTGGGGAGGCTGAACATAGATTTACCAGCTCTTTGGGTCTTCATCCATATCTTTTTCGATAAAACATGCAGAAATAAGAAGCTGATCTTGAAATAATCAGACTTTACCCCTCAGAAGTTTCTTTTTAGATGATCCTCCTGCCTAATGTGTGAATATAGCAATCACCCTAAATTTGATTCGCGGCTTCACCGCGACTTGAGGCAGTGCTTCAGCTTAGACCTTATCAACCTTCACCTTCTTCAGTACACCAGCAGAGGTATTTTGATGATTTTTGGCTTGTTGCTTCTTCAGTCAGCTGCGAGCATCTATGCGGTGTACTCGCCTCACGATTTGCTGAAGCAGGGCTCTTTCACTTCATATTCCACCTACACAAGGTTAGGTGGCTCCCTGGTGCAGGCCTGCTGGATTTTTATGGGCCAGTTATTGTTTGCCTGGTTCTACGTGTACTCCTTGTACTCCAGCTATTCTGACATTGGCAATGCTGAGTATTTATTCTGGCAGCGACCTCAGGGAGCCATCCAAAATGTAGGCTTCATCTTTCGGGTAAATGGCACAAATGTGCCAAGATACTGCTTGGGTTTACCGGGTTTACCATGATGGAATCCCACAAGCCGAGCTTGTGACAGTGCTTGCCAGTACAAAAGCAATTGAACTGCTTTGACACACACATATGGGACCTACATGCCTCCAAGTTCTTACGAAAATTGCAGGGCATCTTCAAGTCTGAAAATGGGGTACCCCTCAATCAACTTGGTGAAACATGGTTAAACATAATTTTCCCACATTTTCCCTATTGCCATTTGGGGGGTACAACGAAGCGGTCAGACGCCAAGGTTTGCAGGCTTCGTGTCAGTCCAAATGACCATGTTCTTCGCTCGCGGTGACAGTCAGCTGGGTCATACCTGGAACGTGAACCAAGCGATCTATGCCCCTCGCCCTGAACCATTTTTCCAATGACTTTGTTTTTTTTTTGGGGGGGGGTTGATGTTTTTTGTTTTTTTTTTCCAAGTCTACAGTAGCCATTTTTGGCTGGAAATCATGGGTTTTTCAAAACGTTTCCAGTTATTTTTTTCTTACAACCAAGTCGGGGAGTTTGATTTTCCTCTTGATACGCTGGAAAACGGCGTACATATGTGGCTTAGGTCCTGGGTAAGTCCCGTTTTTTGTTTTGTATCACGCGCCGCATCCAGGTGTTCTCCAATGTTTACAGGTTGTCATTTCTCATCGATGGGGACGATGAGGAGAATAGTTTCGTTGTTGGAAAATCGGCTTGGCTGCTGCGATCCATTTTCGGATTTGTGGTGAATTTGGTGCTCAGAGACTTTGTGGGCTATTCAGTTCCCATCCTCCTGATGAATTTCCACAATCCCATTGACTGCGTCATTTACAGTGTAGCTCGTTCAACCATCGAACAGCTTTTCCAGCGATTTCTGACCGGATCTTTCAGGTCAGCCATTGTACTTGGAAGATGTGAAAGACCGTATGTCTATATGTATGTCTTGTATTGGATGGTCCTACTCGTTTTTGGAGGATTTTTTCATATGTTTTCCCTTTCTTTGGCGATTGTTTGGCGGATGTTGGTGGAAGGTCACATCTCAAATCTATGCCAAAAGGCTTGACGTCTGAGGGATTTATGGGACGTCTGAGGTGGCGGTCAACTTTATCGTAACCTTGGACGATACTCCTACACAGTTGTACAAGGCAAGTTGTACCGTTTCCATTGGGCCAGATGGCAAGGGAATTTGTCTATACCTTTGGTCCATTAGGATAGCCCTCAAGAGTGGGCCATATCCCAGTGGAAATACTTGGGCCTTAGACATACTTAGACATTTTTTTTTTGCACAGATGGACACTGCAGGCGCAGCACGGGTCTGGCAGTGTGTTCTGGGAAGATATCCTGCATCAGTCTTTAACTTATTAAACCCTCTGGAGGGTGTGAGACTGACGATTTTTCCCCATAAGATGTGTCGACCTGGGAGTCAGCAAGAAATTCCGTGACCTGGGACACTGATGGGTCAGGTGCGAGAGCGCCAACATGAAGGTTACTCCGACTATCGATTGCGCGTTGAGACCAAAGAAGGCATCATTGATGAGGAACCGCCATAGCAATGCCATACTGCAGCGGGGTGATGCAACATGTGTCTCTGGAAATGATGCTCAACTCTGCAATCCTTTTACTGTCAGCTCCCATTCTCAAATTGTTGATGGGAGGTTGGGCAGAGAGCAAAATCGTAGATCAATACTGTACAGCTTCGGGTCAATGTAAATGCACATTGTACAAATCTTAGGAAGCAGTTGAACTGCCTGCTTGTAGTATAGCACGGGGAACGCAAGTGCATTTGGAGCACTTTTTGCCACCCCAGATCGCATGAAGAAATATCAAAATATGTGAATCTGAATACATAGCCAAGATATCCAGAAGGTTCCTCAACTGTTTCAAGGCCAATTTTGCATCCAAAAAAAATCTACCAAGAGAGATCCTTGGAGAAAATCGCGGCACTGCCGAGGATGGTCCTTCGACCTCCAGGTACGGATATCCGTCTCACCGTTTCACTGCTCGGTTTGCCCAAAGAATTGGTGTGCACCGAGTCAAAATCAGGTGGGGCTGACGATCCAAGGTTAGATAACGTTTGGGAAACGTTAGGAATGGGTAAGGATGAGTATGCCATCTCAGGTATGGTTTTGATTTGAAGAAGTACTCGTACTTGCAAGGGAAAACTGTAATCATTTGGGACACTTGGCAAGAAAAGGTCATTCTCATGGCTTTCTCCAGATCAGAATGGTCTGGCAGCAATTCCATACAGGTCATGGATACACAGCCGTGTGCCAAATGGGCTCTGAGGAGAAAGCCAAAGAGTTGCAAGACCAGTTGAACCCAAAGTTGAAAGAGGCCAACGATGCTTCTCCACAAGAGCATGCATTGCAACATGTTAGTACAACATATTTATATATAGTCTATATAGTACATAGATCGAGAGAAGAAAGACTACTTATACAGAATTTAAACTTGGCTGGAGTGGCTTTGACACTGAAATGTTTGCGAGATGTAAAGAGTGAGCTTTCCTTTTTTGTGTGTAGTCCAAATAGTAAGTGTAGGGTTTACAGCATGCGTGATTGGCACAGTGGATTTGGGCACAAAGGTCTTTGGTTGAAAAGGCGAACACAATTTATGACCACCATCATGGGATATACGAAGCACTATGAAACTATGGAATTCATGATAGAATTGTAGTGGTGCCTGCTTTGTCTAACATGGAGCTTGCAACGAGCTTGCAACATGTCACTGACCGATGCGGCAGGCTGGGGAATCAGCAAGAAAGTCTCTGATGGGTGCTGCACAGTGGGGAGCAAAGACTGCGATTTGGTGTCTTGGATGAACCCAGACCGTGGTGGTTTGAGCTTGTTCGCAACTTGTTGGAAGTAAGGTGATATTTGGGAAGTAGACTTAGTGATCGAATATGAAAATATGAAATCGATCTCTGGAATTTCGTAGTGGTCATAGATGAGCTCGCTGCTTCATTTTTCGGACGCAATGAATGATGCAAGGTTTCAATCGTTTGGCACTGGGCAACACGCTGACGACAGCGATGAGGCAACCTTTCTGGGCATGTCGTGAGACACCTATTGCACCGCGGAGGTAAATCACAGCCATGTAGTGAAATGGTGTGGCAGACACCAAGAAAAAGGACCTCCACAGCGGATCAGAAACCATCAGAAACCATCAGGAAATCGTCAGGCAGAAACCTCCGAAATTTGCACGTAGGAGGCCTCCGGGGCTGCGGCTTCTTCGTCAGCCCAGGCAGCGCCGCTCGGGGGGGAACTCAAAGATTCCGCAATCGTTTTCTGTCTTGGAATGTCTTTCCTGCCCTTGGTCGAGTATGACACCTTGAGCCAAATTATATAAATTTTAGGAGCCAAGATGAGCATCATTGTACTCCAACTTTGAACCTTTCATGTTGTGATTGGGGATGTAATTTGGCCAGAGGCACCCGGGTTTTGACCCATTTGAGCTGTTAAACGACACCTTCTTGATTGATTACACACATATATTAATATAGTAGGTTTCGCTGACGGGTTTATTAGATTATCATAACTCAGAATATATATATATACACACCTATTTAATCCTATTTAATCCGATTTATCACCCAGTATTTTGTGGTATGGAACAACTATTCTTTTCATGGCTTGCCCTGCGGTAGAGGACCCCAGTCAGCGTGGTGAAGCATGTCGAGATTGTGGTGGCAAAGGGCTGGACTTCTTGGGTCCGGACGCCCGATGGCAGATTCTTGGAGTGCTAATAATCATTTCTATATTTACAGACACATATACACAATACATATATACACAATATATATATATAATTATATATATATTATATATATATATACATATGTATATATATATACACAATGTATATATATATATATGTATATAATTACATATATATATATATACAATATATATATATACAATTTATATACATTCACAATAATTATATATATACAACATATATATATATATACACAATATAATATATATATACACAATATAATATATATATATACACAATATAATATATATATATATATACACAATATAATATATATATATACACAATATAATATATATATATATTAATCATTTACACATTGGAGACTACAACAACATGTGTTTGGGCATTTTTATGGTGCGATGTTTCTTTGCCCTTACGTGTCACCTTGATGTGCCCCTGCATGACCAGGGTTAATAGGCCCGCAGACCAGCCAGCCATTTGCAGGTCCTGAGACCCCAACAACTTGACCGAAGTCATATGTTTTTTTCCAGCTGGCCTTCCTGGGCCTATGGAGTGGCCGAAACTTTTTGCTGCTGATTATTGGTATTTAGGGTTTAGGGATGTTTAGGGTTGAGTTTAGGCTGTTATTTGGTCAAGTTCCCATTTGCAGATTTGGCAGGCGATCCTTGCACTGGATGTCCAGCCGGAGCACCAGGAGCTGTCGCTCGGATCTTGAAGTGGCAATGAACTCTAAAAACACGAAAATTGATGAACATTGATGAAAATTGTACCATTTAAATCAAACGGTGGTAACAGCTACTACCTGAAAGGGTATACCGTATACCTAGTGACCTAGTGGATCCAATTATATATTTAATCATAATTTAATCATAAGTCATCCTACATCAGTTGAGATGCCTTCAGCTTTTCTGCATCATATATCTTACCTCCTTTGCCTTGTACCCGATCACACCCAGAGCTGCCCTGAGACCGGGGGGACATTGGGGACATTGTCGGCAACGCGTTAAGGATGTTACTGGCTCCACCCCACAGAGGATTGGTGTTTGAACAGCTCTAGATTTTGGGTAATCATGGTGATCTTATGAAATTGCCACCATTGCCGCCACAGCAGGGCCTGCAGAATTCACACTTGGCTCCCAGCGCAGTCGAAACTGCTGAGGCATCATCTTCAGCCTCAGGATCTTCAGGCCGCAATTCATCCCCGCTGCTGAAATGGTTAATTTGTTGCGGTCACCTTAGATGTTTCTCGTAAATCATGCACCCCAAACAGCACATTCAAAGTACAATATCTTGGTGTCAGATGAGATGATCATTACCACCTTTCGGGGATGTTCAGAATTTTGGCTTAACACGAGGCTACCCGGCGCAAGCTCCATCATCCGTGTCTATGCCAGAGGCTGGAATGTGCCGCTGTTCTCGGGTGAATAAGAAGTCTATACCATTCAGGTTGGCCTTCAGATTTCAAACAGGCGGGTTGCGAGTCAAAAGCACTTGGAAGATGCGAGTCCGTAGTTCTTCGACGTTTTCATGCTGCTATCATGAGCTTTTTACGATAAAGTTGTTTGTCTGGGGAGGCTGCCAACTCTCGGTCTATAGCCAATGGAGGGCTAGAGAAGTCACCAGTAACTTCCATGGACACAGAAGCAGCGACGAAGGAAGCAACTGACAAGGCCAAGAAGGAAGCAGAGGAGAAGGCAAAGAAGGCAGCGGAGGAGAAGGCCCAGAAGGAAGCAGAGGAGAAGGCCCAGAAGGAAGCAGAGGAGAAGGCAAAGAAGGCAGCGGAGGAGAAGGCCCAGAAGGAAGCAGAGGAGAAGGCCCAGAAGGAAGCAGAGGAGAAGGCAAAGAAGGCCCAGAAGGAAGCAGAGGAGAAGGCCAAGAAGGAAGCGGAGGAGAAGGCCAAGAAGGAAGCGGAGGAGAAGGCCCAGAAGGAAGCGGAGGAGAAGGCCCAGAAGGAAGCGGAGCAGAAGGCCAAGAAGGAAGCGGAGGAGAAGGCAAAGAAGGAAGCGGAGGAGAAGGCCCAGAAGGAAGCGGAGGAGAAGGCCAAGAAAGAAGCGGAGGAGAAGGCCAAGAAGGCAGCGGAGGAGAAGGCCCAGAAGGAAGCAGAGGAGAAGGCTAAGAAGGAAGCCGAGGAGAAGGCCAAAAAGGAAGCGGAGGAGAAGGCCCAGAAGGAAGCAGAGGAAGAAGCTAAGAAGGAAGCAGAGGAGAAGGCCAGGAAGGAAGCAGAAGATAGAGCTTTGCAAAGCAGCCTGCAAGCAGAAAGCGCTGCGCAACCAGCGGCCAACGGACAAAGCCCTGATGCAGATGCTCTTGCTGACTTGCTTGGGTGATGAGCGGCTACCTCTTTGCTGTTCCTGCACCAGAATCAACAATGTTGCCTTCTACTGTCTACCTTGCTGGCCCAACACCAGCACAATACCTCTCCGAGTGCTTCTGATGTTCCGTTCTTTGGTTTGTGTATAGTCGTGTATGGCATTGGCGTGTCCTGCTTCATTTGAGAGAAACCAAAGGATTGAGTAGTGCAGAGGCCACGAAAGCTAAGATTCTTTCCCTTGGGTGAGATGAAAGTTTTCTCTTGATTGTCGAAAGCACACGGAGATTCCTGGAATTCTTGCGGACCCCCTCGAGGGCTGTACAAAGCGTGGCATTCATGCCACATAAAGTATGCCGCAGATTTCCTTCTAGCTGGTCGCATTGACTCATCCCCTGTGTGCCCAAGAATCCTGCGATGGTTCAAGTTTGGCAAATCTTTGCAAGGATCAATTTTGGACATTTGACTGCACAATTCATTAAACCTGGCCCTGAGTTTGATTGCAATCTTGGGCACACTGTGATGTGAAGAGAGCACAGAGGAGTTTGAAAGAAACAAAGAGTTTTCTCGGGTCCAGTTTGCTCAGAGGGCATGGGGCAAGCAATTTCAACCAGCACAGATTCCCTGCAAGAGCAATACCGGCAATGCCATCAAGACCTACCAGTATGTTGGATTGGGATGTCCAACCCATTTCCTGCATTGCTATTGAAATCTATTGAATGACTGGACGGGTCACAGAACTGCTTGGAGCAAAAGGCTTCACCAGATGCAAAGGGACAATTTCTGTGGTAAAACTGTTGGGAGGGATTTTGAACAATTAATAAAGAAAACAGCATTTTGCGTTCTCAAGCCCGTTTTTGGTGCAAATTGAAGTCCTTGAACAATTAATAAAGAAAACAGTTGGTGGAGGATTTTGAGGGATCATTCCAGCCTTGGTCCAACTGTTTTTTCGAAGCTTTGGATCCAGCTGTTGCGACTCAATGGGCAGATGGGAAGAGCCATGCTTCAACTTT